TGTCCCTCTGTCTGATTCATCGGACGTTGGTCGTCCAGTCACTTGTTTGGTTGGCCCGTTTTTGTCGCTTGTCCGCTTGTCCGGTCCGATCTGGTCCGTCCCCGGACAGTTGAGAGGAGAACGGCTTTTGGTCGGTCCGACTCGATCTGTACATGCATTCGGCTGCCCGGCCGTCCGTCCGTCCAGGCGTCATAGCAACCGCGCAACACCTTTTCACTGCCAACTCGTCTCGGCCAATCAACGGCCGCGTCGACCAGCTCGGATCAGCGCGATCTCGGACACCGGTCGGCCGGATCAGGCCCAACAAGCGGCTGCCGTGTCAGCCACGAGAAGACCGGCCGTCGTGATCCATTTCGCCCGCCGGCGATCCGAATCGTGATCGCCTAGTCCCAGGAGTCCAGCGCTACCACGAGACCCCCCAACCGCGCCACATGCCCTCCGTCTCGCGGTCGCGGCCATCACTCGACCGTCTCTAGGCAACCGCCGTTTGCCCACTCTTGCCTACAGACATCCCTGCCGACTCCTCGTGAATCTGTGTGTGTGTGTGTGTGTGTTTGTGTGCCTGTGCATTCTGTTACGGAGATCAGCTTTGTCGGCCAGAATGGCCCATTTCGAGGCCCTGGAAGGAGCACAGCAACTGAAAGTTCGGGCTGCCCGACGCCGGAAGGGATGGAGGTGAGTTGGTCTGTTGGTTTTTATGTGAAGAACTTCATGTCGCGTGTGAGTGCATGTTGGAGAAGACGTCACGTTGTACCGGCAGTCATTCGACGTTAGTACGTCGTTCAGGTTGATGCAGTCCACGAGACATGTTCCGACGTTTCGAGGCAAGACGAGATGCGCTTTCGTTCGTCATGTCGTGTGGCACGCATCCTCACAGCCGGGACTTACTCTTGTAAAAGTCACAAGTTAACATACACACACACACACACACACTTGTAGCAGGACAAATAAAAAATATAATCGTCCAAAGCATTTTATATCCATTTCGAGAGAAAGTGTTTTGTGAAGAGATTATAAGTTCGATTCTATCAGGAGACGACGGCCGATTCCTCTTGAGTGAAAGTGTGAAATCGGCCTTCAAATTTCACTCGAAATGGAGGCGACCTCAACAAATTATGAAACAAGAGATTCCTCTTAACCCACTTTTTATTCGCACATTCTATGCTTGTCTATGCCCACACTTTTTCGATTTCAGTCATGAGTAGTAGGATAGAGCCTGATAGCATGAGACTTTTAGAAGAATGATGATGTCGATCATTTGATGGACTCGTCTTCGCCCAAAATGTTGGAAGATTTCTCGTCGACTGGATCAACCCGAACGTGCACAGTACAACGCAAATCAGCCGGCGTCTTCTGGCAATATTGGCCCACGAATCTCTTGATAATGTACTTCCATACAAAGCAACAATCTAATTTCAGGAGATTTTTCGAATCCCGCACTCCGATTGCATATGCAAGGTCTGTTGGTCTGTCGGCCGCCCAACAGCGGCTTGCGATTTTGCGCTGAGCAGGGTCGGATTGGATGGGCAAATCGGGTCCAAATTTGTTGACTTCGAGGCTCACCAACGAGCGCCAAGTCTGTCGGTCTCGAGCTCATTTGGCCAACGTCCACTTTCGCTGGGTCGCTGATGCCTCGTGGCCGCATCGCCGACTCGAACCATCCGAATTGACAAGACCACCTTCCGGCCGACCAGGTCGCCTGAACGGAGCCGGAATGGAGGGTTTTAATCGGCACGGAATCGAATGATGCCGCCGCGGTTCTTTCGCCCGGTCGGGTCCGGTCCGGTCTGCCGGGTTCGAACTCGCCTCGCTAGCGCGTCAGCCCCGCGCCGTACCGGACTCGAGCCAGGAACTTGTGCATCGAGTGATACGCACCAATTCACCACTCCGTCGACCAGCCAGGCCTGCGCGCCAAGGAACACTGGCAGAGTGCATATGACCGTCTAGATTGAGACTGCAGTTCGAGCCGGAGTGGAATGTTGTATCGGTTTCCATGGCATCCTGACATCGGATCATGCATGCACTTGCTTGAGATCCGCTCTCCAGACTCCGAACTACCAAGTCGGCTTGACTTGAGGCCAGATGAAAAAACAGATACAAGACTAGAAGTGGGTTGACCTCGTTGTCGCAACTTGGTCTTGTTGTCATGGCGACAATGTAGAAGGCACCTAGTCCGAAGTTGTCTGCCATAGTAGTTGTCATGATTCCCAGCATCTGACACCGATGATGCCGACTACGATGCCGGCGAAACGTTTGAGAATGTAACAAGTTCACTGTTTGATGCTGGTAGTCATGACAACTGCTATGGCAGACGACTTCGGACTCGGTGCGTTCTACATAGTCGTCATGACAACAAGACCAAGTTGCGACAACGAGGTCAACCCACTTCTATAAATCGAAA